TAAAGCTATATTCTTTACCTTATAAACAGCAACATCTATGCTCGCCCACAGAAGCAGATCTAACTTCATAAAACTACCAGAAATGGCAGTTGAGTTGCAAATTTAATTAAATTGTTCAAGTATAATCTAAATAAGGACGTCTAGATCAGATTTTGCTGTCTGCTACATTGACAACGGCATGTGTTTGTCACAAACAAAATTGATATAAAATACAATTTATAAACTTGTTTTGTTTTTGAAATATTTGACATTCCAAACCAAGTAAACTTAGATGTCCTATGAATAGAATACATGTACGCTTCTATTTACTTTTCACCATATCCTGCTTGTGCGAATGTCCTTCAAAAGTCTAAAATGAAGCACAAGCTTTAAATATAGCATTTTATTACAGGAATTCATCAAACTACGAACATTTTTCAAGGACTAAAATTATTTTTGTGCAACAATTATCTTAATGTTTTCCCCACATGCTACATTCTCATTAAAATCAATAATTAAATGTATCAAATGACATCAGATATTTTCAATAAAAAATTGAGGGCATCTATATATACTTCTGTCAGTTTCCTGTCTTAATATTTCAATATAACAATCTTATATGTCATCAAGTAAATATCATTTACAAAGAACAACAATAATAATCATTTAATTGTTTCTCACTGGCATTTTCACTGATTTTAATTACTGAATTTTAACAATCAGAATTAAAAACATGAGCTGTCAATAGAACAGCAAGCTTGACTATTCTCAATTTCTCAGTGCTTGATTCTATGCTGATAGTAAAACAAGAGCCCAGATAATGTAGAATTTTGTAAGTTAAAAAAAGGCTTTTATTCTGTCCAAATTCACTTGAGAGCTATTCTACCCCCTATTATGCTCTAAAATTAGAGTATGAAGTTTCAACCTACTCTCCATATTTTTCAAAGTTGAGCTAACACAAGCAAAGTTCATAATTATGAAGTGTACAATGGTAGTTTAACTTACTATAATTTTACCCCAAGATCTTAACTGTACTCTACTGTCTTTGTTTTGATTTTTTAATATTGTTTGGATGGGTTTAAAAGCAAATTTACATTTTCAAATTCATGTTGTATTTTTTCAGCTTTACTGGAGGAGGAATACCTAAGTAAATTGCCCCTCTGTGCATTATTTCATGCAAAAGCTGTAACTACATGAAAGAATCCAATGTCCCTGCCAGGATTCGAACCCGCAACAATGACGGGTTAAGTTAAATGGTGCTACCTATGCATAAGTGGCTTTTAAACCGGCCATGTTTTGGCAACAGTTAATTATTGGAATTCCTAACTAGGGGTGTGGATCGTCGGATAAGTGACGATCCGATCCGAACCACGATTCAGCACTTACGATTCACAAATCGAACCACAAATCTTTCGTTATCAAGACACCCATAAAAACATGTACATTAGTTATAAAAAAACATGTTTATTTAAAAAAAAACAATACTTACATTAAATATAAAAATTTATAAACTAGGTTTATGTTTTTATTCTTTGGGTGAGTATATTTGTTTTGTTTTTTTGAAACCAATTACTTCCTAGCTCAGCATCATGGCACATGGTCTTTAACCGGCAAATTGTATTCAGGTAAACATCACATAATTTATACTCAAATCGTATTTTTCTCGATTTTAAGAGTGTGAGAAACAGTAAATGTATATAAAAAAAATAGATCGCAATCCCCGATCTCTGGGCTTACGAATATTCAAACTCGATTTTTCATTTTGATTCGTGATTATCCGAGTACTCGGATACTCGCCCCAGCCTTATTCCTAACCTTGGAAATTACATTAACATCCCTAGTACTTTTATTTTGATGTTATTGGCGACGCCGGTGAGCGGCGTCGTCTATTATGGAACGCTTTTTATTTTTGCCTATGGAAGGAGCTGTTATTATTAGCAGTTAATTTCATGTTGTGTAAATTAGTTTTATTTTGATTCGTAAAAATCAAGTAAACAAATGTGTTGTTATATTTGTATTTAATAACTTTATGTAAAAGCATGTGCATTGTGATATTATTTTCACGAAATTGCGGGTTAAGTTTAACAGCTTGTCCCTTAGTTTTAATGACAATACTAAAACCCGGATTTCGAATATCGTTGTGGTCTAGATTGAGGCCGTATCATTTATACATTTTCAAAATTTTCCTACAAGAAGAAAGTTCACCTGCAATTGAGTATAAGGATAGGTAATGAAACTGTTGTAAACGATTATCCTATTGATTTTATCCTTATTACATTTATCTGTTGCGCAGAATGGTTGTTTTTACAAAGTGTACCAGTATCCGGATGTTGAAAGCTATCCGATTTTCTGCAATTACTGCTGACACATGGCCATCTATTTTTTTATGAAAACTTTACCATTAATTTGCATGGCTTGATAAAATTGAACCTGCAACATTTCATAATTTTGCTGTTTATCGTGTTCTTTTGGGTTTCAGGTTTTCTTTATTTTAAGGGGAAGTAACTTATGTTTACTAAATTATTTGTTCTTTTCTGTCTATCTTAGGTATTACTTATAATACTATTTTTGTTGTATATTAATTCACCAGTTGTAAGGTCATCAAAAGCATGTTTAATGTTAATGTTAGGATTTCATATTTATTTAATATAAACTGGGAATTTATTAATGTTATGTGCATGTACATGTATATCTTAGACAGTAGTATATTGATATGTTGAGACTTATAATTTTTCTGCATTTAAAGAGATACAGTTATGTCATTATTATTAAAGGGATGAGACTTTCATTTAAAGTTATAAATGATAAAAATGTATTGATTGAAAATGTCCTTAAACTTGGATCAAAGCAATATAATTAATAAAGTCTCAAAAAATCATATTCAGAATAGTTATTCTATTTTTTTCTAACATGTGCATAGTTTGAAAAGGACAGCTTCTGTCTTATCTATTTGTAATGAAGAGACACCGGTCTCAACCTCCAGGTCTCCTGAGTCAACGCGACAACAGACTGTACATAGAGTAGATTGTTACTTGCCCTTGAATAAATTTGTGCACTAAATTTATAGTGGGTGATTTGTGCCACATGAAAACCAACATAGTACAAAAAGTAACTGGGCGCCAGATGAAAACATGAAAATACAATCTACACACAAAGTGGTTTGTTTGTTGCATTTCATGTTTTTGCCCGGTGCCCTTGATGCAAAATACAAATCAGCCTTCATAAAAATTTCTTCTTATGTTGGTCACAGGTTAATGAGTTCTGGTCAAGCTCAAAGTTTTTCTCATCCTATGACTGCATATAAGCATGAGTTCAATTTCCTATGCTCTGTAACATAAGAAATTCACGAACACAAATCGATATAGTGGGGAAATATGTTGTGGTTTAGAACTGTTTCATTATTAAAGAGAAAATGTGTAGCAGGACGGATAGCTCAGTTGGTCTTCTGAAAGTCATGGGTTTGAGTCATGGTCAGGCAGTTTCAGTCAGGGTTTAGAAGTGGTTTTTCAATTGACACATGTTTGATTCATTTAACAGATTGCATTATTTGAAATGGACAAAGGCAGTATTGCATGATACTTTTAGATCTAAAAAGTGCATTTGATACAGTTGAACACACTATCCTGCACATGAAGAAGTTGTTTTTCTTCTTCTTCATGAAAACTTCAAGCATCTGCCATATAATAATGACATTCTTACATGGTTTAAGTCTTATCTCTGATAGTAGCTGGTTGATGTGGCTGGTACTTATTCTACTACTGCTCTGAGTACCTATGCTGTCCCCCTGATGTTCATTTTAGGTCCTCTTTTATGTCTAATATATGTCAATTACATGTCTTCAACCCTAAGCAATAAGCTTTTATTATAATGCACAGGCACGAGTATCAGACCTTGGATAAAAAATATGGCCAGATTGATAAAAAAACCTGTGTTCATCTTAAAAGTGTCAACAACCAAGATAAAATGTAAATAATGACCCCCTTTAAAAATATACTTCAAGTTGAAAGTATATTTTTAAAGGGGATCATTATTTACATTTTTTGTTTTGGTTTTTATAAACACGGTTTTTTTTTTATCAATCTGGTCATCTGGTCATATTTTTTCTTCCCAGGTCTGATACTCGTGCCAGTGATTATATGCTGATGACTCAGGAATCCTTGTGTCTCATAAATTAAATCTGAAGAAATTCTTTCTTATAACATGAGTCTTATAAGATTGCTTAATTGACTATAAATTGCCTTTGCATCTTGGCAAGACAGAGTCTATTCTTTTTTGGTTTAAGTTTCAACTTAACCTGGCCCTAGCCTCCAGGTCACATGTAATGGTACTGCTATAAAGTACACATCTTTTGTTAAGTATTTAGGTGCAAATCTGGATCAAATTCTTTTGGCGTCGCCCTTTGATGCTTTGCATCAATGCTTTTCTTGTTCAGCTATTGTAATGAATAAATAGAAATACCTTTACAATGCAACTCTTTAAAGTTGAAGTCCTTTATTAAAATACAATCAATTAAGCATTATTTATAATACCCTCTTCTTTCATGAAATAAATTAAAATGTATTAAGTAAATAGTACTTTACAGTGCTTTATTACATACTGTTATCTTCACTGCACTCCAAGAAAACATTGTACAAATCAAGTAATGTGTCAAGTGTCATAAAACTAACACATGCCAGGTACTTTCAGGTAACCAAGTTTGACAATTACATTCTGATCAATATATCATTAAAGGAACAGACATGTGTACAAATGTACATGTAGTTAATTATTCATTGATATACTAATTAACTGTTTCATAAATAAATAACACACACATGTATAAAACTGGCTCTAATTTCTTTACCATGACATGCTAAATTTACTTTAGATATTTTCAGAGTGGATAATCAAAATGACTGAACCATGACAATTAAATGTGTACTTCTGATAACAGTACCTTCCTTTGAAACATAGGCTATATATTTTAACTTCACTGCACTCTCATTATCAGAAACAGAACCATATTTAAATAAACACCAACAACTGTGATCAGTTATTTATCACTCCAAGTAACTTATTTATCCCCTGTTTATATACACATACAACATTTTGAACCTTTCTTGTGAAAACAGAAAGTAGACTTGTTTAAACTGTGTTTTTGGTCAACCCCAAGTTTGTAAAATTTCTTACCTGTTCCCTACCAGTCACTCTCAACTTCTCCTCTTATATCACAAATATCCGCAGTTTTCAGGGAAGTACCTAAAACGATAAATTTAAGTCATAGAGTGATGATTGAATTACACACATTACATTTATAAATATTAATATCAGTGTATTATGTTATCAAGCATTTCTGTGTCCCTATATTAATCTAGACACCAGTATCATAGAATTGTCCCCTATCACCAGTATCATAGATTTGTCCTATATTAATCTAGACACCAGTATCATAGAATTGTCCCTATCACCAGTATCATAGATTTGTCCCTATATTAATCTAGACACCAGTATCATAGAATTGTCCCTATCACCAGTATCATAGATTTGTCCCTATATTAATCTAGACACCAGTATCATAGAATTGTCCCCTTTCACCAGTATCATAGATTTGTCCCTATATTAATCTAGGACACCAGTATCATAGAATTGCCCCTATCACCAGTATCATAGATTTGTCCCTATATTAATCTAGACACCAGTATCATAGAATTGTCCCTATCACCAGTATCATAGATTTGTCCTATATTAATCTAGACACCAGTATCATAGAATTGTCCCTATCACCAGTATCATAGATTTGTCCCTATATTAATCTAGACACCAGTATCAAAGAATTGTCCCTATATAAATCTAGACACCAGGATCATAGAATTGTCCCTATCACCAGTATTTATAGATTGTCCCTGTATTAATCAAGACACCAGTATCAAAGAATTGTCCTTATATAAATCTAGACACCAGTATCATAGATTTGTCCATACACTGTAATAAATCTAGACACCAGTATCACAGAATTGGCCCTATATAAATCTAGACACCAGCATCATAGATTTGTCCGTATATAAATCTAGACACCAGTATCACAGTATTTTCCTTATAAATCTAGACACCAGTATCATAGATGTGTCCCTATATAAATCTAGACACCAGTATCACAGTATTTTCCTTATAAATCTAGACACCAGTATCATAGATGTGTCCCTATATAAATCTAGACACCAGTATCACAGTATTTTCCTTATAAATCTAGACACCAGTATCATAGATTTGTCCCTATATAAATCTCGACACCAGTATCATAGCTTTGTTCCTATATATTAAACAGGACACCCATATCATACTGTAGATCAATTTCAATATACATGTATGTTTACTACAAAAAAGGCAAATTAACTGATATATCTCACATTATCATTTCTCAAATAATAAAATCCTTTCAAAATAGATGCAAGTATCAATATTTTTTTTAAAGTAGTAACATGCAATTAAGATCATTAAGTTTAACAAGAAAACTGATTAACAAATATGTACTTACTGAATTTACTTTGCATCCATTATCAAGATGAGAGTTTCTGTTTTTTAAAAGGATATTGGCAAATCTGTCACCCCTCTCTCTCTGTCTGTCTTAATTTATAGGGTTCTAAACTTCCTTAATTAGTTTGCTTACATCCTTGGTATCTTTTTTGTCTTTTCCTACAAAAAATGTATACATGTAAACATTTAACACAATTGTATTGTTTAAACATGAAAGTTGAGAACTAGACTATCAACTTTAAAGTTCTATTATAAAAAAAAACCATTTATGTATTTTTACTATTTTATAGATATTTCATTGGTAAAACAAGTAAGTTTATCAGTACTTGACATAACACTTCCTTATTCCATATACTGCAAATGAATATGGTGAAATGGGATAATGGTTTTATCTTCCAAACCTCAAATCAAACAAACAAAAACAAACATTTTTTGAAGATGAACTGATACTAAAGTAGGCTTTGCTACAATATTTATGTATGTATACACTTTTTAAACTATCAAATATATATTAAAAGAAAACAAAGTTGAACAAAACCGTAGCATAATTACAAATGTATAATTATGTAAGAATAATCAATTTATACTATAAATATACAAAACCATAATCACACATTTCTCTTGACATGTGCTGCTTACGTTATATTTACAAAGAAATAGGTTGATTTTATTTCATTATAGTGCTTTTTTGCCCCACAAACTTTAAGTTTAAGGTAGTATCTGGTCCATTAAAAGAGGAGTGTTGCAACTTCAACTTGTAAACAAATTTTTAGTGATTTTCATGACATTTTTCATTCAGCAGAACTTTATATGTCATTAGACATTGATGCCACACTCTGGGAAAATATTATACCAATGGTTAGCTACACAAGAAAATATTCATAAATGAATGTATAAAATTACTCTGACAAAATGACCAATAAAAAACAAAGATTTACTCTCTTATTAAGTCTTGTCATAATTTTTTGTTAGTTTAAATCCTTTATTGTTAATATTATGATTATTATCCAATAGCCAGTCTTTCAAAGAAAACAGCATTATGTAACATATTGCAGAACAAATTAATACCAAATCTGAAAACCAATCTGATTGTGAAAATACTTCATACCTTATATGGACATGAATATTTTAAATGAATATTTATAAAGCAAGTAAATCTCCTAACAGCCTCACTGGAATAACAGGAGAAACTGCCATCCTTAAATTTACATCCTACATGTACCTACATTGTACCTACATGTACACAGATATGTAACTGAAGTACTATTTATGGCCAAAACAAGTTCAAAACTGATTAAAATCTTTTCAATAACCTCTATCAAGCCTTCCAAATAGACTTACATCACTTTGTAACCAATATTTCCCTAAATTACGATTTACGATCCTATAAAAAAAACAACTTCATTACTCCCTGAATGGCAGCCATTAAAAACGTTAAATATTGATTGCACAGGAAATTTGTCTTAAAATAATGCAAACTTGCGAAGAGTTAGCTCTCAATTATCTGTAAGGCTATTTTTCATGTAACAATTACACTGAAACTTGATGTTCAACAAACTTTTAATTGATTTTCCTTCATGCATTAACCAGAAGGATTCATGCAATTCTCTTAACATGAAACAAGTAGCTTTGCTGTGTATGACCAGTCATTTATCACTGAAATTTAATTGATGGATGAACAAGAATAAGAATCTGCAGTATTACATTTGTGTGAGAACAAAAATTCATAACAGCTATCTGAATAACAGCATGCTTGTTTTATAGTTTGATAACAGATGGGGAAGAAAGGCAAGAGAACAAGAGCTTCATGTATCATCTATTCTAATCTAAACTCTTCAATGTTTTATATGATAAATTGTTGGGACAAGAAAAAGAATCAATGACAGAACTGTTATATGTTTTTTTCAGATCATTTGGCTGATGGTTAGAAAAAACTTACAAGGAATGATTTGAGGAAAATCTTGAAATATACTAAGATGAAAAAATTATGGATCATGTAATACAATGTCATGTACATGACATGGAGGTTGAACTTCCTGCATGTAATGTCTGTGGGGTTAGGAAACATATAAGCTCCTTTTTATCTCTATAACATTGAAGCTGACAAAATATTCAAGAATGGAGATCATTGCATGATCAAAACTAGTTGAAATGATGTTTTTTAAAATTAATACAACAGTTTTTCTCCCCTACTACCCGGTACCCAACAATTTGAGAAAAAATGCATCATTGTGACTCAAATTTGGAATTTTACATAATACTCCAAGTATTCATGGGGTATTTTTTTATCCAGGGAGGCATCAGAATTAAATACACTATAAAACTATGTTTTATGAACAATAAGACACTTAACTTAAAGTATTTTTTTTCGTATCTGAGTTTTAAAAAATTGAGTACATGAATAATGTTTAGGTGTGAAACAGCAGAATTACCAATTTTGGTGGGGAATTTTGCATTTAATTTTGGGAATTTCAGACAGTCAGAAATTGGGAAATTTGTTGTCTACTTTTTATGTGCCATTTTCCTGGTATTACTTATATATATAAGGGAAAAAAAACACTGTATTGTATCATATTTTTGTAAGACTGTTCTTAATAGGGAAAACGTTGAATCCTTGTCTCATGCTGAATGTCTTTCAAACAAATAATATATGCAAGAACTTTATGCTTTATATATTCATTCTTTATACTAATATTTGATAATTACATAATTATACTTAAACTAGACCTATCACTGAAGGTGATTAATACCCCCCACCAACAACTTTGACTTTTTGACAAAAAAGTAGTCTGAAGAAAAATTTGAACACAAACTTTCAACTGTGTACAAAGAAATATTTCAATCAATTGTAATCACAACTGAGATCTCTAAATAAGCTTGCTATACACCAAATTAGATTACAATATCTCATTCCTAACTCTAGTAATTGTCCGAAAACCATTTTTCTATTTTTAGTAACACTGTAACAGTGACCTTGACCCTAGGGGGTCCAAATCCAATCCCAACCCAGGTCTTCATATAAGCTTCCTTTACACCAAATTAGATTACAATATCTCATTCCTAATTCTAGTTATTGTCAGAAAACCATATTTCTATTTTTCCTAACGGTGACCTTGACCCAAGGGGGTTCCAAATGCAATACCAACCCAGGTCTTCATATAAGCTTGCTATACGCCACGTTTGATAACAATATCTAATTCCTAACTCTAGTAATTGTCCGGAAACCATTTTTCGATTTTTAGTAAGTGACCTTGACCCCAGGGGGCCTAAATGCAATACCAACCCAGGTCTTCATATAAGCTTGCTATACGCCAAGTTTGATAACAATATCTCATTCCTAACTCTAGTAATTGTCCGGAAACCATTTTTCTATTTTTAGTAATGGTGACCTTGACCCCAGGGGGTCCAAATGCAATACCAACCCAGGTCTTCATATTAGCTTGCTATACACCAAGTTTGATTACAGTATCTCATTCCTAAGTCAAGTTTTTGTCTGGAAACCATTTTTCTATTTTTCGTAACGGTGACCTTGACCTTGCTTGCTATACACCAAATTAGATTACAATATCTCATTCCTAACTCTAGTAATTGTCCGGAAACCATTTTTCTATTTTTAGTACCACTGTAACAGTGACCTTGACCCTAGGGGGTTGCTATACACCAAGTTTGATTACAGTATCTCATTCCTAAGTCAAGTTATTGTCTGGAAACCATTTTTCTATTTTTCGTAACGGTGACCTTGACCTTGCTTGCTATACACCAAATTAGATTACAATATCTCATTCCTAACTCTAGTAATTGTCCGGAAACCATTTTTCTATTTTTAGTAACACTGTAACAGTGACCTTGACCCTATGGGGTTGCTATACACCAAGTTTGATTACAGTATCTCATTCCTAAGTCAAGTTATTGTCTGGAAACCATTTTTCTATTTTTCTTAACGGTGACCTTGACCTTGCTTGCTATACACCAAATTAGATTACAATATCTCATTCCTAACTCTAGTAATTGTCTGGAAACCATTTTTCTATTTTTAGTAACACTGTAACAGTGACCTTGACCCTAGGGGGTCCAAATCCAATCCCAACCCAGGCCTTCATATAAGCTTCCTTTACACCAAATTAGATTACAATATCTCATTCCTAACTCAAGTTATTGTCAGAAAACCATATTTCTATTTTTCCTTACGGTGACCTTGACCTTGACCCAAGGGGGTCCAAATGCAATACCAACCCAGGTCTTCATATAAGCTTGCTATACGCCAAGTTTGACAACAATATCTAATTCCTAACTCTAGTAATTGTCCGGAAACCATTTTTCTATTTTTAGTAAGTGACCTTGACCCCAGGGGGCCCAAATTCAATACCAACCTAGGTCTTCATATAAGCTTGCTATACGCCAAGTTTGATAACAATATCTCATTCCTAACTCTAGTAATTGTCCGGAAACCATTTTTCTATTTTTAGTAATGGTGACCTTGACCCCAGGGGGTCCAAATGCAATACCAACCCAGGTCTTCATATTTGCTTGCTATACACCAAGTTTGATTACAGTATCTCATTCCTAAGTCAAGTTATTGTCTGGAAACCATTTTTCGTAACGGTGACCTTGACCCCAGGGGGCCCAAATGCAATACCAACCCAGGTCTTCATAAAAGCTTGCTATACGCCAAGTTTGATAACAATATCTCATTCTTAACTCTAGATATTGTCCGGAAACCATTTTTCTATTTTTAGTAACGGTGACCTTGACCTTGACCCCAGGGGGTCCAAATGCAATACCAACCCAGGTCTTCATATAAGCTTGTTATACACAAAGTTTGATTACAGTATCTCATTCCTAAGTCAAGTTATTGTCCGGAAACCATTTTTCTATTTTTAGTAACGGTGACCTTGACCTTGACCCCAGGGGGCCCAAATGCAATACCAACCCAGGTTTTCATATAAGCTTGCTGTACGCCAAGTTTGATAACAATATCTCATTCCTAACTCTAGTTATTGTCCGGAAACCATTTTTCTATTTTTAGTAACGGTGACCTTGACCTTGACCCCAGGGGGTCCAAATGCAATACCAACCGGAGTTTTCACAATAGGTTGCTATATACCAAGTTTGATTACAATACCTCATTCCAAACTCTATTTATCGTCCGGAAACCATGA